CCAAGTGCTGATTGCAGTTACGGGCCACCACACCCGATTTTATGGTGTGCTGGGTTTTGAACCCAGAGCTTTGTGCATGTCAGGCAAGCGCTCTACTGAGCTATCATCCCGAACCCTGAGCCTCAGCACTTATCTCTGAGTTCCTGCACATGAGACCAGAAACATATTTCTTCAAAGCCTGGCATCTCGGTCTCGTAAATGCAAAATAGAGACTCCTCAGTGGGACAGCTTAGAAGCCGGTGTCTGTGGAACACTCAGCCATGGGATCCCCCGGCATGTGTTAATTCCCTTTTCTTCCCATGCTGTCCCCCTTTACTCCCCTGAAAGCAAATGTGAGCTGGGGAAAGAGCTAGCTGACCTCACTGCCCCAGGACAAAGGAATGATGGCCTCAGTTCAAGAGCAAAGTACAGGAGTTTTTGATTAACTCGGAAACACCACAGACTTCCAGGGGCCCAGCTGCTGCAGGGTGGGGCATGGAGCTGGGGTTCTTGAAAACTCAGGAAAGAGATTGGTTGATGTAGCACATGAAGCCGTGAGGGCAGGTAAATGCTGAGGCCAAGGTCCAGCCCCGGTATCCTTTTCTCCCTGGGCCTGTCCACAGCTGGAGAGGCAGAGCCCGGGTTGTGTTCTTCAAGCTTTGTGAAAAGGCTGGACTGTGTGTGCCTGGAACTGCAAGGCCATGGGATCTCCCCTTTGTCCCTGTTCCATGTCCCCAACCCCCAGCCCTGAGTGCATCAGAGGGATGTTTTCTTCTGGACCCAGCTGGAACAAGGTCATCTGAGGGGGAGCTTCATGTGTACTAGGGCAGTACTCCTGGACCAGGAACTTGGCCAGAGGGCACAGGGCAAAAGTGAGTGGGGGGTGGGTAGTGTGTGTGTGTATGTATAAGAAACCCTGCCTGTTCCCATCATAAATTGCCTCCTGCTCCCTCAAAAATCTTTGGTGCTCCCAATCAGGGAGTCTCTCAGAGAACCAGCTCTGTCCAAGAGCTATCCCAAGCCATTTTAGGAAGGAGACCAAATTGCTATGTTTTTTTATTTTACTTAGACAGGATCTCATTTGTCTCAGACGGGCCTTGAACTTGCTATATAGTCAACACTGATCTTGAACTTCTGATCTTCCCGAGTGCTAGGATTACAGGCTTTTGCCACCATGATCATTTATTTGGTACTGGGGATTGAACTCAGGGCCTCAAGGACGCTAAGGAAACATTACCAGCTGAACTGCATCCCCAGCACTCTTTATGTTTTTGAGACCCATCCTTGTGCTTGGTGGCTGCCCCTCTGATCTTTACAGCTTTTCTGATTTCGAGTCTGAATCTTTCCCACATACCTGATAGAATTCTTTAGGTGCTAAGGAATTAGCACAAGCAGTTTGTTTTTCCTCCTGTGGATGAGCCAAAATTTGGGGAAGATCCCTAAGTTGCTTGTTTCTACCCCGCCCTCCCCATCCAGCTCACCCACCCCAGCTCACCCTCCCACCCAGCCACATGGGAAAATGTCCCCTTAGCCCTTCCAGTCATGCGAATGAGGCCACGATTCAAAGGCAGTGGGCAAGGAGGAGGCTTCATGGAGCAGTCGGAAAGAACTAGCCCTTTGTGCTGGAGCAGGGTCCTTGGGGGATGAGTGCATTTTTGGCGTATTTAGAAAGATTTCTTTTTCATAACGAGCAGCCGAGTAGCCGAGGAGGGAGAGGGAGGGAGAGACAGAGGAAGAGGTCAAAGGCAGGATGGGGAAGAAGAGGCAGGAACAGGGACAAGGGCTAGGAAAAGTAGTTATGGGATTGAAGGGAGCATGGGATAGGAGCCAGAGAGAGAAGCAGGAAAGAGAAGGAAAATGCAGCCTGAGCAAGCTGAACCTGTCCCAATATAAAAATGAATTAAAAAATAGAAGAAAGCCAAGGATGCAGCTCAGTGGTAGAGGACTGGCCTGACATGCCTGAGGCCCTGGGTTCAATCCTCGGTACTGAAACTAAATGAACAAGTGAATAAAATGGGGGTGCCCAGAAGGAGTTTTGCATCCATTTATTTTCTTCTACATGCTAGACAAGTCTCACCAAGTTCTTTACACTGGACTTGAACTCATTCTGTTTCCCAGGAGGTACTGAACTTGTAATGCCCCTGCCTTAGCTTCCAGAGAAGCTGGGATTATAGGCCTGTACCACCACATCTAGCCAGATGTGTGTGTGTGTGTGTGTGTGTGTATGGGTTCAAGTGTATACATGTATATGTGTGTGTGCATGTGTGCACACACTTGTATATGTGTGTGTGCATGTGTGTGCACACACTTGTATATGTGTGTGTGCATGTGTGTATGCACTTGCACATACAGATAAAAAGCCAGCATTGAATATCTTCCTCAGTCACTCCTACCTTATTTTTCTGAGACAGGGCCTTTCCTTGAATCTGGAGTTCGCTGATGAAGCTAGATGCTCCCAACAGCCCTGTTTCCACTTCCCCAGCCCTGGGATTACATGTACACACTGCACCCACCCTTTTACCCAGGATCTGGGGATCAAACTCAAGACTTCCTGCTCCTGTGGAAAAGTGCTTACTGGTTGAGCCAGACATCTTCCTAGATCCTTCGCTCCCATTTTACATGTGGGAAAACCAAGACCGGACAGGGAACGTGGGTAGTAATAACTACTGCACAGTAACTCTTGCTCTCTGGGATGTGCTAAGTCTTTGCAGGCCTAACCTTATCTAATCCTCACAACCAGATGAGGCAGACAGGCTCTCTCATTACACTCCCCCTGCCCCACACACAGACCAGAATGCAAAGTTTTGCTGATCCCTAATTGGAGGGCATTCCCCAAAAGCTGAGAAAAAGTCTGTATGTGAGCCCCAGTCTCAGAGGACTAGGTCTTAAAACAGATCCACCTTGCATTAAAGTCTGGTAGATTCCCGTTTTCTAGTCTTCTTTGTCTACTTTTAACTCAGTTGGGGGAAATAAGCACGTTCTTTCATTCATTCATTCGTCTCTAAAATGCTGCAGTGTGGCCCACACCACACACTCGGGACACTGCGCTAGTGTCTGGGGAATTCCACGGTGATGTTGCTACCTGCTTGAAGCTCCCAGGGGAGGGGGAGAGGCCATGTGCAGGCAAGCAGTCACCTCGCAGAGGCCAGTCTCCCCCAACCTGAGGGGAAGAAGGCAGCTCTGGCATATTTTCTGGAGGCAGACAGCTTGCCTGAGGTGACAGGACAAGTGCAGGGAGGTTCAAGACACTTCCTCCTCCTCAGGATCCCGCCCTGTTCCTTCTTACTTAGTGCTTCTTGCAGAAGGAAGGGGTGCAGCCTGAGTGGTGGGCAAGAGACAAAATAAAAGGCACTCAAGTAGGGAAGGCAGAAGGAATGGCCACTGTTGATGGCATTGCCTCACATACAGGGAGCCCCAAATTTACAGGAGAGTTTTGTTTTGTTTTGTTTCTTGTTTTTCAAGACAGGGCTGTCCTGGAACTTACTCTGTAGACCAGGCTGACCTCGAACTGACAGAGATCCACAGGCAGGCCTCTGCTTTCCAAGTTCTGGGATTAAAGGCACCAGGCCCGGCTCAGAAGAACTGTTTTAAGTAATAACAGAAGACAGTAAAGTTCAGAATACAAAATCTACACACAAAGAGCAGTGGCAGCCGGATGTGGTAGCATGTGCCCATAGCCATAGCCCTTGAGAGACTGAGGCAGGATAATGACACATCCGGGCTAGTCCCAGCGACACAGTGAGACTCTGTCTCCATGGTAGAACACCAGCTCAATGGTAGAACACTTACTCAGCACGTGCGTAGTTCTGGGTTTGATCACTACCAGCCACCCTGCCATTCCCCCCACCCCAACCCCAGGAGTGCTCTTCCAGAGGTCCTGAGTTCAAATTCCAACAATCACATGGTGGCTAGCAATCATCTATGATGAGATCTGGTGCCCTCTTCTGGTGCTCAGACAAACATGCAGGCAGAACATTGTAGACATGATAAATAAATATTTAAAAAAATTTAAAATAAAAGAGTCCCAATATCTTTTTTTTTTTTTTTTTTTTTTTTTTTAGAAATAGAAACAGCGCTTTCTGCTTTCTTCCTAATAGACAGAGTATCTCATTCTCTCTTGCTCTTCTCACTTCTCCCAACAGATGGGGCCATTGGAAGGGCTGGGAAGATAAAAGCCCAGTTAGTCTCGGCTAAAGAACACCTAGCATTCAGCAGTCAGGGGCAGGTGGAGCACTCACTCAGAAGGCAGGGTCAGGTGGAGCACTCAGCAGGCAGGGTCAGGTGGAGCACTCAGCAGGCAGGGTCAGGTGGAGCACTCAGCAGGCAGGAGCAGGTGGAGCACTCAGCAGGCAGGGGCAGGTGGAGCACTCAGCAGGCAGGGGCAGTTGGAGCACTCAGCAGGCAGGGTCAGGTGGAGCACTCACTCAGCAGGCAGGGTCAGGTGGAGCACTCAGCAGGCAGGGTCAGGTGGAGCACTCAGCAGTCAGGGGCAGGTGGGGCACTCAGCAGGCAGGGTCAGGTGGAGCACTCAGCAGGCAGGGGCAGGTGGGGCACTCAGCAGGCAGGGGCAGGTGG